CAGTATTCTCCCCAGTAGGATGCTGTGGCAACATTACGGATTATTTTCTATGTCATTATTCCCCAGTGATGGGATACTGTGTGACATTACTGGATTATTTCATATCAGTATTCCCCCCAGTGATGGGATACTGTGTGACATTACTTGATTATTTCATATCAGTATTCCCCCCAGTGATGGGATACAGTGTGACATTACTGGATTATTTAATATCAGTATTCTCCCCAATGATGGGTTACTGTGTGACATTACTGGATTATTTAATATCAGTATTCCCCCCAGTGATGGGATACAGTGTGACATTACCAGATTATTTAATATCAGTATTCCCCCCAGTGATGGGATACTGTGTGACATTACCGGATTATTTCATATCAGTATTCTCCCCAGTGATGGGATACTGTGTGACATTACTGGATTATTTCATATCAGTATTCCCCCCAGTGATGGGATACTGTGTGACATTACTGGATTATTTCATATCAGTATTCCCCCAGTGATGGGATACTGTGTGACATTACTGGATTATTTCATATCAGTATTCTCCCCAGTGATGGGATACTGTGTGACATTACTGGATTATTTCATATCAGTATTCTCCCCAGTGATGGGATACTGTGTGACATTACTGGATTATTTAATATCAGTATTCTCCCCAGTGATGGGACACTGTGTGAACATTACTGGATTATTTCATATCAGTATTCTACCCAGTGATGGGATACAGTGTGACATTCCTGGATTATTTAATATCAGTATTCCCCCCAGTGATGGGATACTGTGTGACATTACCGGATTATTTCATATCAGTATTCCCCCCAGTTATGGGATACTGTGTGACATTACTGGATTATTTCATATCAGTATTCCCCCCAGTGATGGGATACTGTGTGACATTACTGGATTATTTCATATCAGTATTCCCCCCAGTGATGGGATACTGTGTGACATTACTGGATTATTTCATATCAGTATTCTCCCCAGTGATGGGATACAGTGTGACATTCCTGGATTATTTCATATCAGTATTCCCCCCAGTGATGGGATACTGTGTGACATTACCGGATTATTTCATATCAGTATTCCCCCCAGTGATGGGATACTGTGTGACATTACCGGATTATTTAATATCAGTATTCTCCCCAGTGATGGGATACTGTGTGACATTACTGGATTATTTAATATCAGTATTCTCCCCAGTGATGGGATACTGTGTGACATTACTGGATTATTTAATATCAGTATTCCCCCCAGTGATGGGATACTGTGTGACATTACTGGATTATTTCATATCAGTATTCTCTCCAGTGATGGGATACAGTGTGACATTACTGGATTATTTCATATCAGTATTCTCCCCAGTGATGGGATACTGTGTGACATTACTGGATTATTTCATATCAGTATTCCCCCCAGTGATGGGATACTGTGTGACATTACCGGATTATTTCATATCAGTATTCCCCCCAGTGATGGGATACTGTGTGACATTACTGGATTATTTCATATCAGTATTCCCCCCAGTGATGGGATACTGTGTGACATTACTGGATTATTTCATATCAGTATTCCCCCCAGTGATGGGATACTGTGTGACATTACTGGATTATTTCATATCAGTATTCTCCCCAGTGATGGGATACTGTGTGACATTACTGGATTATTTCATATCAGTATTCCCCCCAGTGATGGGATACTGTGTGACATTACTGGATTATTTCATATCAGTATTCCCCCCAGTGATGGGATACTGTGTGACATTACTGGATTATTTCATATCAGTATTCCCCCCAGTGATGGGATACTGTGTGACATTACTGGATTATTTCATATCAGTATTCTCCCCAGTGATGGGATACTGTGTGACATTACTGGATTATTTCATATCAGTATTCCCCCCAGTGATGGGATACTGTGTGACATTACTGGATTATTTCATATCAGTATTCTCCCCAGTGATGGGATACTGTGTGACATTACTGGATTATTTCATATCAGTATTCCCCCCAGTGATGGGATACTGTGTGACATTACTGGATTATTTCATATCAGTATTCTCCCCAGTGATGGGATACTGTGTGACATTACTGGATTATTTCATATCAGTATTCCCCCCAGTGATGGGATACTGTGTGACATTACTGGATTATTTCATATCAGTATTCCCCCCAGTGATGGGATACTGTGTGACATTACTGGATTATTTCATATCAGTATTCCCCCCAGTGATGGGATACTGTGTGACATTACTGGATTATTTCATATCAGTATTCCCCCCAGTGATGGGATACTGTGTGACATTACTGGATTATTTCATATCAGTATTCTCCCCAGTGATGGGATACTGTGTGACATTACTGGATTATTTCATATCAGTATTCTCCCCAGTGATGGGATACTGTGTGACATTACTGGATTATTTCATATCAGTATTCCCCCCAGTGATGGGATACTGTGTGACATTACTGGATTATTTCATATCAGTATTCCCCCCAGTGATGGGATACTGTGTGACATTACTGGATTATTTCATATCAGTATTCCCCCCAGTGATGGGATACTGTGTGACATTACTGGATTATTTCATATCAGTATTCTCCCCAGTGATGGGATACTGTGTGACATTACTGGATTATTTCATATCAGTATTCCCCCCAGTGATGGGATACTGTGTGACATTACTGGATTATTTCATATCAGTATTCTCCCCAGTGATGGGATACTGTGTGACATTACTGGATTATTTCATATCAGTATTCTCCCCAGTGATGGGATACTGTGTGACATTACTGGATTATTTCATATCAGTATTCTCCCCAGTGATGGGATACTGTGTGACATTACTGGATTATTTCATATCAGTATTCTCCCCAGTGATGGGACACTGTGTGAACATTACTGGATTATTTCATATCAGTATTCTCCCCAGTGATGGGATACAGTGTGACATTCCTGGATTATTTAATATCAGTATTCCCCCCAGTGATGGGATACTGTGTGACATTACCGGATTATTTCATATCAGTATTCCCCCCAGTGATGGGATACTGTGTGACATTACTGGATTATTTCATATCAGTATTCCCCCCAGTGATGGGATACTGAGTGACATTACTGGATTATTTCATATCAGTATTCCCCCCAGTGATGGGATACTGAGTGACATTACTGGATTATTTCATATCAGTATTCCCCCCAGTGATGGGATACTGTGTGACATTACTGGATTATTTCATATCAGTATTCCCCCCAGTGATGGGATACTGTGTGACATTACTGGATTATTTAATATCAGTATTCTCCAGTGATGGGATACTGTGTGACATTACTGGATTATTTAATATCAGTATTCTCCCAGTGATGGGATACTGTGTGACACATCGGATTATTTAATATCAGTATTCCCCAGTGATGGATACGGACATTACTGGATTATTTCATCAGTATTCTCCCCAGTGATGGGATACTGTGTGACATTACCGATTATTTCATGTCAGTATTCCCAGTGATGGGATATTACTGTGACATTACCGATTATTTCATCTCAGTATTCCCCAGTGAGGGATACTGTGACATTACCGATTATTTCATATCAGTATTCCCCCAGTGATGGGATACAGTGTGACATTACCGATTACAACACGTATTCTCCAGTGATGGGATACCGTGTGACATTACTGGATTATTTCATATCAGTATTCCCCCCAGTGATGGGATACCGTGTGACATTACTGGATTATTTCATATCAGTATTCCCCCCAGTGATGGGATACCGTGTGACATTACTGGATTATTTCATATCAGTATTCTCCCCAGTGATGGGATACCGTGTGACATTACTGGATTATTTCATATCAGCATTCTCCCCAGTGATGGGATACCGTGTGACATTACTGGATTATTACATATCAGCATTCCCCCCAGTGATGGGATACCGTGTGACATTACTGGATTATTTCATATCAGCATTCTCCCCAGTGATGGGATACCGTGTGACATTACTGGATTATTTCATATCAGTATTCTCCCCAGTGATGGGATACCGTGTGACATTACTGGATTATTTCATATCAGTATTCTCCCCAGTGATGGGATACTGTGTGACATTACCGGATTATTTCATATCAGTATTCCCCCCAGTGATGGGATACTGAGTGACATTACTGGATTATTTCATATCAGTATTCTCCCCAGTGATGGGATACTGTGTGACATTACTGGATTATTTCATATCAGTATTCTCCCCAGTGATGGGATACTGTGTGACATTACTGGATTATTTAATATCAGTATTCTCCCCAGTGATGGGACACTGTGTGAACATTACTGGATTATTTCATATCAGTATTCTACCCAGTGATGGGATACAGTGTGACATTCCTGGATTATTTAATATCAGTATTCCCCCCAGTGATGGGATACTGTGTGACATTACCGGATTATTTCATATCAGTATTCCCCCCAGTTATGGGATACTGTGTGACATTACTGGATTATTTCATATCAGTATTCCCCCCAGTGATGGGATACTGTGTGACATTACTGGATTATTTCATATCAGTATTCTCCCCAGTGATGGGACACTGTGTGAACATTACTGGATTATTTCATATCAGTATTCTCCCCAGTGATGGGATACAGTGTGACATTCCTGGATTATTTCATATCAGTATTCCCCCCAGTGATGGGATACTGTGTGACATTACTGGATTATTTCATATCAGTATTCCCCCCAGTGATGGGATACTGTGTGACATTACTGGATTATTTCATATCAGTATTCCCCCCAGTGATGGGATACTGTGTGACATTACCGGATTATTTCATATCAGTATTCCCCCCAGTGATGGGATACTGTGTGACATTACTGGATTATTTAATATCAGTATTCTCCCCAGTGATGGGATACCGTGTGACATTCTCCCCAGTGATGGGATACAATGTGTGTAATTTAGCTCCTCCCCTGACACGCCCACTCAGTGACGTCACGCTCCGCGCATGCGCCGTGCGGTCTGTTGCCGGAAGTGCTGCGGGTGATTTCGGGTTCCGCTGGGATTCGGTTTCGGTTTGACATGGACGAACTACACCGGCAGATCCTCACCCGGAACCGGGTCCGGCTAGTCACCTCCCTGCAGGTGGCGGATCTGTGGGACCCCCTGCTGGAGAAAGGGGTCTTCACCGGAGACATGATAGAGGAGATCCGGGTGAGAGAATGGGGGCCACAACGGGGGAGAACGGGGGGCCACACCGGGGGAGAATGGGGGGCCACGGGGGCCACACCGGGGAGAACGGGGGGGCCACCGGGGAGAGCAATTAGGCCACACACCGAGAGGAGCAGGGGAGGGGGCCACCGGGGAGGAGCAGAGGCCACACCGAGGGAGAGCAGGGAGGCCACACACCGGGGAAAATCGAGGGAGCCACACACAGGGGAGAACAGGGGCCACACAGGGGAGAATAAGAGGCCACACCGGGGGAGAACAGGGAGGCCACACCGAAGAAGAACAGAGAGCCCACCGGGGAGTGAGCAGGAGGCCACACCGAAGTAGAGGCCACACCGAAGCAGGGAGCCCACCGAAGGGGAGGGAGCAGGAGCCACACCGAGGGAGAGGCCACAGGGGCCACACCGGGGAACAGGGGGCCACACCGGGGAGAACAGGGGAGCCACACCGGGGAGAACGACAGGGGCCACACCAGAGGAAGGAAATAGAGGCCACAGGGGGCCACACCGAAGGGGAGAACGGGGGCCACACACCGGGGGAAAACAGGGGGCCACACCGGGGAGAACAGAGGCCACACCGAGAAGGGGAGGAGCAGAGGCCACACCGGGGGAGAATAAGAGGCCACAGAGGCCACACCGAGGGAGAACAGAGGCCACACCGGGGAAAGAATAGGGGCCACGAGGCCACACCGAGAGGATAACAGGGGAGCCACACCGGGGAGAACAGGGGAGGCCACACACCGGGGGGAGGGAGCAGGGGCCACACCGAGAGGGAAGAACAGGGGAGGCCACACCGAGGGAGGAGGAGGAGCAGGGGCACACTTGCAGGAGAACAGAGAGCCTCACAGAGGGAGAATAGGGGCCACACCGGGGAGAACAGGGGCCACACACCGGAGTGAAATCAGGGGGCCACACACCGAGAATGGGGAGAATAGGGCCACACCGGGGGAGAATGGGGTCCACACCGGGGGAGAATGGGGGGGAGAATGGGGGGTCCACACAGGGGGAGAATGGGGTCCACACAGGGGGAGAATGGGGTCCACACAGGGGGAGAACGGGGTCCACACCGGGGGAGAATGGGGCCAGAGCCCACAGGGTGAGAATGGGGCCGTATAGGAGGACCACACCAGGTGAGAAGGGGGCCACAGGGTGAGAAGGCAGCCACACAGGAGGACCACACCGGGTGAGAAAGGAGCCAGAGCCCACAGGGTGAGAATGGGGCCACAGGGTGAGAAGGCAGCCACACAGGAGGACCACACCGGGTGAGAAAGGAGCCAGAGCCCACAGGGTGAGAATGGGGCCACATAGGGTGAGAAGGGAGCCACACAGGAGGACCACACCGGGTGAGAAGGGGGCCAGAGTCCACAGGGTGAGAATGGGGGCACATATGGTGAGAATGGGCCCACAGGGTGAGAAGGGGGCAAAGGCCACATAGGGTGAGAAGGCTGCCACACAAGAGGACCACACTGGGTGAGAAGGGGGCCACACATGGGAAGAGGGACACTCAGGGTAAGAAGGGGACCACACATGGGAAGAGGGACAATCAGGGTAAGAAGGGGACCACACAGGAGAAGAGGGCCACTCAGGTTGAGAAGGGGGCCACTCAGGGTGAGAAGGGGGCCACACAGGGTGAGAAGGGGGCCACACAGGGTGAGAAGGGGACCACACAGGGTGAGAAGGGGACCACACAGGGTGAGAAGGGGACCACACAGGAGAAGAGGGCCACTCAGGGTGAGAAGGGAACCACTCGGGGTGAGAAGGGAACCACTCGGGGTGAGAAGGGAACCACTCGGGGTGAGAAGGGGACCACACATGAGGACCACACAGGAGAAGAGGGCCACTCAGGGTGAGAAGGGGCCACAAAGAAGTAGGACAGGCTTCCCCAAATTCCGGCCCTCCAGATGTTGCTGAACTACTCCCATGATTCTATGAATGAAATGGATAGTCTGAGAATCATGGGAGTTGTAGTTCAGCAACATCTGGAGGGCTGACATTTGGGAAAGCCTAGAGTAGGGGATTGTGCTGCTTACTGTAAGCCGTACCAAGGCTAGTGTAAGACCTTACTGTTTACACTGCACATAAACATCTCAGCCCTTTGACAAATAGTTGACTCTAAATTGCGTACCTTCTGGCACTCACTAGGTTAAAGGACCAGGAATTATCCCCATCTCATGGACCATAATACTCCAACACCCAGATCCTCTGATCCAGAGTCATTAAACAGAGCCCACAACTCCCATGCTATTAGCCAGGCATTAACCAGGTTTGAATTTCTTCTCACCAGAGGTAAATTTGTACTCTCCAATGGCTAGTGGAGAGAGGAACCTTTTAGCCATGCATTATAAGACTACTGTCTGTTTTAAATTTTTACTTTTACCATGTGGCACTGGTAACAGATGCTGGTTTAGGTCATGTTACAATGTTGTTTATTTTAGATTAACACACAGTTTTTGTGATTGTCCTGGCAGAGTGCAGGTACACGAAGGGACCAAGCACGACAGTTATTGATTGACCTTGAAACGCGTGGAAGTCAGGCTTTCGCTCTGTTTATCCATTGTCTAAAGGAAACGGGTCAGCATGAGCTTGCACAGCATCTTTTGGGCAAAAATGAGCTACCTGAGATAGAGCCTGCTCCATTCGTGCCAAATCCAGACTATATACCACAATATCCAAACGGTATGTTGGCAACATAAACAGGCAATCCAGTACACAAATCATGTCTTACCATCAAAAATGGAAAATACTCCAAATCCAACCAGTTACCTGTTAATCTATTATTATCTTATCTATCTGACTTTATTTTAAAACTACACAACTATGATATTCATTATCTATTCATAATGTATTTTATAGCTAAGGTTTAAAGTTTTATCTGGATGACTGTAAATGATATCTGTGGCTCTACTGCAGGCTTTATACCAACTTATCTCAATGAAGTCGTTACGGGGGATGCTGTCACTGCACTCTTCTCATGTAATCATGTCTTTATGTAGTTAAGTCAGCATGCCTACTGCAACAAGCTTGCTTTGAGTGTTCTTTTAAAGCAGAGATGGGGAACCTTTGGCCCTCCAGATGTTTTGGACTACATCTCCCTTAATGCTCTTACAGCCATAACGCTGGCAAAGCATCAAGGGAGATGTAGTTCACAACATCTGGAGGGCTGAAGGTTCCCCATCCCTGTTTTAAAGGAACACTATAATACTAGTAGTACAAACTTGTATTCTTAAAGGGACACTATAGTCACTAAAACAACTTTAGCTTAATAAAGCGGTTTTGGTGTATAAATCATGCCTCAGCAGTCTCTCTGCCCAGTTCTCTGCCATTTATGAGTTAAATCACCTTGTTTACACAGGCCTAGCCACAGCTCCCTGCATGTGACTTCATAGCCTTCATAAACACTTCCTGTAAAGAGTCAACTAATGTTTATACTTTTTTAAGTGCAAGTTGTGTTTAATTAAGATTTTATTATCTTCTGCTCTGTTAATAGCTTGTTACACCCTGCAGAATCCTCCTTTATGTAATTAAAGTTCAATTTACAGAGCAGGAGGTAAAAACGTTTAAAGTAAGTTACATCTGACTGAAAGTGAAACCATTTTTTTCATGCAGGCTGTGTTAGTCACAGCCAGGGGAGGTGTGGCTAGGGTTGCATAAACAGAAACAAAAGTGATATAACTCCTAAATGGCAGAGAACTGAGCAGTGAATCTATGTATGAAAACTGCATCATTAAAGGACCACTATAGTGCCAGGAAAACATACTCGTTTTCCTGGCACTATAGTGCCCTGAGGGTGCCCCCACCCTCAGGGACCCCCTCCCGCCCGGCTCTGGAAAGGGGTAAAACTTACCTTTTTCCACCGCTGGGCGGAGAGCTCTCCTCCTCCGATCCTCCTCTTCTCCTCCCGTCGGCTGTATGCGCACGCGCGGCAAGAGCTGTGCACGCATTCAGCCGGTCACATAGGAAAGCATTCATAATGCTTTCCTATGGACGCTGGCGTGCTCTCACTGTGAAAATCACAGTGAGAAGCACGCAAGCGCCTCTAGTGGCTGTCAATGAGACAGCCACTAGAGGAAATAGGGGAAGGCTTAACCCATTCATAAACATAGCAGTTTCTCTGAAACTGCTATGTTTATGAAAAATGGGTTAACCCTAGCTGGACCTGGCACCCAGACCACTTCATTAAGCTGAAGTGGTCTGGGTGCCTAGAGTGGTCCTTTAAGCTAAAGTTGTTTTGGTAGCTATAGTGCCCTGCCTTTTTGGCATTGTAGTAATAAATGAAGGATCTTTGATTGCCTTTAACAAGCTCAGAGGCTCCTTCACTGCTGCTTGCATCTCGACCCCTATGGTGTCACGGAGGAGGCATGTACTCCCCCTTAGCCAGTCCATTCTAATGCTCCTCATGGAGGACCAAATGTACAAACGTGGCGAGCATTGAATCAGTTCTTTCCAAAGTGGGATGCAGTCACGAGTTTTACTCCGTTATTGAAGTAGAAAGTGCTTCCAGTGGCTGTCAGTGTAATAGCCACTAGAAGTGTGTTTCCCCATGCAATGTAAACATTTTTACAAAACTGCAATGTTTCACATTGCAGGGTTAAACCTAGAGGATCACTGCACTCAGCCCTCATCATTGAGATGAAGTGGCCGGGTGACTTTAGAGTACTTTTAAAGAGGAACACTCACTTTCCATGGTTTTTAATATTATGTTTACTTATTTCCTGTTTTTAACAAATATGTGTTTGTGAGCTTTGAAAAATTAAATTAGATGTAGAAATCCACACCGTTCTATTTAATTCTTTCCTGGCACTCTTCAGCTCCATCTAGGCTCACTGTCAATCCTTATTAGCTCTGTTATTGTTCTGTTATTGAACATAATCAAGAGAGGACAGAAGGAGAACCATACATTCTGTTTGTACTGGCTGTCTGTTTGTCCTAAATAACAAATGTTATTTATTATGAAGAATACATTCCTATTTCTCTAGTTTTGAATCTTCAGGATTTCAGGGAGACCTGCAACTGACAAATTACATTTTGTCTCTTCAGATATACCTTCAAAAAAAGAGAAAATCTGGGACATTGAGCAGGTTTGTTGTATAATTATTACATTATATATATTATATATTAAATTACATGAGCCACAGAGACTACATTAGAGGGAGAAAAAGCAAGTAAAGTGAAAGGGACAATGAAAGCGCTGTGCGAGGCTGACATTTTCTGTGCAAATATGATGAACTCTCACTGTTGTAGAACGTTAGTGTCCAGGTACGGAGCAGATATTTTTTTTCTGTTTATTTATTCCAAATATCCGTATAAAGAAGTAATTCGGCAGCAGCGAGGGGATGAGTACATGGATTATACTGCAGGATGCAGTGCTTATGGTGCTTTCTGTTTAGATTTGCTTTAAATGCAGCAAAACATGTCCTCACCTGCAGCTGGCACAAACTGATACACAAGGAATTCATTGCAGTAATATAATAACTGTCAGAAAGAGAATATTATACAGTAACATTATGTATGGTTTTAATAATCCTTGTCCTCTTCCTTTAGGATTACCCAATGAAGTTTGAGCCCTGTGGCTTCTGCCTTATTGTTAATAACATGGAGTTTGATGAGGGCACGGAGTTATCGTACAGGAAAGGCTCTGACATAGACCGCCAGAAGCTGGAAAACAGATTCCGCTCATTTCATTTTGAAGTTCTAGTAAAGAATAACTTGAAGGGATCAGTGAGTTCTAAACACTCTTCTTCAACTCCCATTTAATAGTCTGTACTGCACGTTCCATCTCCCGCTAATAGTCTGTACTGCACATTCCGTCTCCCACTAATAGTCTGTACTGCACGTTCCGTCTCCCACTAACAGTCTATACTGCAGGTTCCGTCTCCCTCTAATAGTCTGTACTGCACGTTCCGTCATCCTCTAATAGTCTGTACTGCACGTTCCGTCATCCTCTAATAGTCTGTACTGCACGTTCCGTCTCCCACTAATAGTCTATACTGCATGTTCCGTCCTCCACTAATAGTCTGTACTGCACGTTCCGTCATCCACTAATAGTCTGTACTGCACGTTCCGTCTCCCACTAATAGTCTGTACTGCACGTTCCATCATCCTCTAATAGTCTGTACTGCACGTTCCTTCATACACTAATAGTCTGTACTGCACGTTCCGTCTCCCACTAATAGTCTATACTGCACGTTCCGTCTCCCACTAATAGTCTGTACTGCACGTTCCGTCTCCCACTAATAGTCTGTACTGCACGTTCCGTCTCCCACTAATAGTCTGTACTGCACGTTCCGTCTCCCACTAATAGTCTGTACTGCACGTTCCATCATCCTCTAATAGTCTGTACTGCACGTTCCGTCATACACTAATAGTCTGTACTGCACGTTCCGTCTCCCACTAACAGTCTATACTGCACGTTCCGTCTCCCACTAACAGTCTATACTGCACGTTCCGTCTCCCTCTAATAGTCTGTACTGCACGTTCCGTCATCCTCTAATAGTCTGTACTGCACGTTCCGTCATCCTCTAATAGTCTATACTGCACGTTCTGTACTAATAGTCTATACTGTTCCGTCCTCCACTAATAGTCTGTACTGCACGTTCCGTCATCCTAATAGTCTAACTGCACGTTCCGTCATACACTAATAGTCTGTACTGCACGTTCCGTCCTCCACTAATAGTCTGTACTGCACGTTCCATCATCCTCTAATAGTCTGTACTGCACGCTTCCGTCTCCCACTAATAGTCTGTACTGCACGTTCCGTCTCCCACTAATAGTCTGTACTGCACGTTCCGTCTCCCACTAATAGTCTGTACTGCACGTTCCGTCTCCCACTAACAGTCTATACTGCACGTTCCGTCTCCCACTAACAGTCTGTACTGCACGTTCCGTCTCCCACTAATAGTCTGTACTGCACGTTCCGTCTCCTCTAACAGTCTGTACTGCACGTTCCGTCTCCCACTAATAGTCTGTACTGCACGTTCCGTCTCCCACTAACAGTCTATACTGCACGTTCCGTCTCCCACTAATAGTCTGTACTGCACGTTCCGTCTCCCACTAACAGTCTATACTGCACGTTCCGTCTCCCACTAATAGTCTGTACTGCACGTTCCGTCCTCCACTAATAGTCTGTACTGCACGTTCCGTCTCCCACTAATAGTCTGTACTGCACGTTCCATCATCCTCTAATAGTCTGTACTGCACGTTCCGTCTCCCACTAATAGTCTGTACTGCACGTTCCATCATCCTCTAATAGTCTATACTGCACGTTCCGTCTCCCGCTAATAGTCTGTACTGCACGTTCCGTCATACACTAATAGTCTGTACTGCACGTTCCGTCCTCCACTAATAGTCTGTACTGCACGTTCCGTCATACACTAATAGTCTGTACTGCACGTTCCGTCATACACTAATAGTCTGTACTGCACGTTCCGTCATACACTAATAGTCTGTACTGCACGTTCCGTCATCCTCTAATAGTCTGTACTGCACGTTCCGTCCTCCACTAATAGTCTATACTGCACGTTCCGTCATCCACTAATAGTCTGTACTGCACGTTCCGTCATCCACTAATAGTCTGTACTGCACGTTCCGTCTCCCACTAATAGTCTATACTGCACGTTCCGTCATACACTAATAGTCTGTACTGCACGTTCCGTCCTACACTAATAGTCTGTACTGCACATTCTGTCCTCCACTAATAGTCTATACTGCACGTTCCGTCTCCCACTGTCTGTAATGCACGTTCCGTCATACACTAATAGTCTGTACTGCACGTTCCATCATCCTCTAATAGTCTGTACTGCATGTTCCGTCCTCCACTAACAGTCTGTACTGCACGTTCCGTCTCCCACTAATAGTCTGTACTGCACATTCTGTCTCGTTAAAGGATTAGTGAGTCCTAAACTCTCCTTCAGCTCCAACTAATAGTCTGTTTTATGCATTCCATGTCTGTAAGGGATTGCAGAGCTTCTGCTACTAGCCTGCACTTTTGTCTTTTAGAATAATTGGGAGTTCTAAACATTCAGCTCTCACCAATCTATAGTGGGCTTTCTGTCTTTAAGAGCTTAGTGAGTTCTAAACATTCTTTGGGCCATATAACTAGTAAAGTATTCCTTCTATTACTCTAGGAAATTTACCAAGAACTGCAGGATTTGGCAGCCAAAGACCACAGTAAGCGTGACTGCTGCCTGGTGGTGATCCTGTCTCATGGCTGTGAGGTGAGATTTATTTTATTTGGCTCCTGGATATATTTTTCTTTATTTACTGTCAGGGTTAATGGAATTTAAAAGAGAATTTCTTATTGTTGGACACCAGGATCCACCATCTCATCAGACACTCACTCCCCTAGTGTTTGTGTTAAGAGATCCTGTCGGTTGGCTATACTGTTATAAATTCACTACACAGATTAATTACTTCTTATCCCAAAGAAGGAAAATAGGAAGAAAAAAAAACACTTTCAAACTTATAAATGCTTATTAATATATTGCCTGTTTAGTTGGGTCAGTCTGTAAATATAATCTGACATTGTGCTCTGGGCCATTCTCTCTATTTCTTTGTAATGCTCAATTTCACTCCTTAGCTTATGTTTATAAATATAGTCACATGAGTTAGAGCCCTGCTCACCAGAGCTTGCAATCTCGGTAGCCCTTGCTATTCAGTAAGGGATCACTCCTGTTGTCATGTGATAAATTCCTCACACACACACAAGATCCCTGTGTCTCCCTGTGATGCATTAAAGAAGATCCGATGCATAACTGTTTGAGATAGTTTTAGTATATTCATCCAAGTAAACATTATGAATGTACATTGTTTTGTCAGATAGCAATGAAGTTTGAATATATTGTTTACATTTTGTGTCTTATGGGGAAGCTAGTTTTGATGATGTTCTAAAGCGGTTTCTGAAGAGTATATAATGCAGGCATAACATTTTATGGCATGTGTTTTGTATTCTGTACACATTGCAGGATAACACCGTGAGCTAACATCAGAAGTGTTTGTTTACTAAAAAGTGAATTAAAAATTGAATTGTTAAATTTAGGTCAAAATAGCCGATTTGTAAAAACTTATCAATTTGGCTGTAGTCTTAGCTTGGCCAGTTTAGCCTGATTGTCGCTATTCGCTGTTTGTCAAATGTGTTTTGTCAATAAAGAGTTCGATATATATGTATAAGACCTTCTACATCACCCACATAATACTCGTGTTATCTGCAATAATTAAGGATGAATAATTAATGATTCTTTTTCTGCTGCAGACACGACACAGGAAATTTCCTGGTGGTGTTTTTGGGACAGATGGGATACGCATTCCTGTGGAGAAGATAGTCAGCTACTTCGATGGCACCAGTTGCCCCAGTCTGCGGGGAAAACCAAAACTTTTTTTTATCCAGGCTTGTGGTGGAGGTAAAATTTTAAATAAATCTCTCTGAGAAAATGTTTGGAATTTTAGTAGGATTGTGTGAATGAATCATTTCAACCTCTCCTCCCTGCCCCTGCCCTATCCATCACTTACTTTGACGTTCACACTGTCCGCATATTTAAACCCACTCCTTTAAGAATCGTCCCCCTGGTCATCCTAGGCTATTCCTAGGCTACCCCACTTTCTCTCCTCTAGCACTCCTTCCCTCATACTTGAAGACTTTAATCAACAACCTGAACTGCCCTGATGCCTCGCGTCTGCTCTCTGTAACCTCCTTCTTCGACCTCACACAGTGGTCTACTTCAGAAACTCATACAGCAGGAAACACTCTTGACCTCATCTTCACCAATCTCTGTACCACCTCTAATCTCTCCATTGTTCCATTTCCTTTATCTAACCACCATCTCATGAACTTTGACATCGGCATATCCCGTACCCAGATTTCACCACCCTCAACTCTCCAAACTCGCAGAAACCTCCACAGCCTTGATCTCCAGCATTTCTCCACCAAAACTCCAAACTCTCCTTTTACCCATCTCAAATCTCACTTGCTGTAACTCTGCAACCTCACTCTACAACTCCACTCTCTCTTCTCAACTAGACATCATGGCACCTCCTACATTTAAACGCAGCAAGCGTTCTCAATTACAACCCTGGCACACCAAGCTGACCCAGTATCTCAAACAATGTTCCAGAAATGCTGAACGCTGTTAGAGAAAGTCTCACTTTCAAAAGTAAATTACTTCAACACCCTCATGAGCACACTGTCCCACCAACCCAAAAGCCTGTTACACACTTTTAATGCTCTCCTTCGCCCTCTCCTACCACCTTGTCCGCCTCAAACTTTGCAACTCACTTCACTGAGAAGATTTCTGCAATCACGGAAGAGATCTCTAATATCTCTCCCTCCCCTTCCAATACATCTTCCAATAAATCACCCAACCCCACTCACTCCACTGTTCTATTCTCATTCGCACCTGCTACAACAGAAGAGGTTTCCGCTCTGCTCTGGTCCTCTTGCCCCACCACCTGTTCCCTCGATCCTATTCCCTCATATTTCATCTGCACTCTGTCTCCTTCTCTTTCTCTTCCTCTCACTAAAGTTTTTAATCTCTCCCTTTCCTCCGGCACATTTCCTTCACCCTTCAAGCATACAACCATAACACCAATTCTGAAAAAGCCCAACCACGACCCCAACTTCCCATCCAACTACCGCCCTATATCGCTACTGCCGTTTGCCTCCAAGATCCTTGAGAGAGTTGTGTATGAGAGATTGATAGACTTCCTCAAATCCAACTCTCTGCTAGACCCGCTTCAGTCTGGATTCCGTGCTAGTCACTCTGTTGAAACAGCTGTGACCAAAGTATCCAATGATTTAATCGCTGCTAAATCTCGCGGTTATTACTCTATCCTAATTCTTGATTTTTCTGCTGCTTTTGACACTGTTGATCATCAACTCATCATTCTCTGTAATCTCAGTCTACGAGATACTGCTCTGTCCTGGTGCTCCTCCTACCTCTCCCAGTGCTTTTTCAGTGTTTCTCTGGCTATGCCTCTTCTATCTAACCCCTCTCTGTTGGTGTTCCCTAAGGTTCTGATTTTGGTCCCCTACTGTTCTCCATCTATACTGCCTCCCTTGGTAAACTCATCAGCTCCTTTGGCTTCCGTTATCATTTCTATGCGGATGACACGCAAATCTACCTGTCCTCTTCTGATCTCTCTCCGCCCATCTTGACTCGTGTCTCTGACTGCCTCTCAGCGACTTCCAATTGGATGGCTGCCCACTTCCTTAAACTCAACCTGTCCAAAACAGAACTTCTGGTCTTTCCTTGCTACCATCAGCTGCACCACGCAGGCTCGCTGCCTAGGTGTTCTCTTCGACTCCGACCTCTCCTTCACCCCTTATGCCCAGTCTATCAAAAAATCCTGTGCCGCTTCCATCTCAAAAATATTGCTCTCATCCGGCTCTATTTAACGCCGGATGCTGGTCCATGCCGTTGTTCTTTCTCGTCTTGACTATTGCAATCCCCTTCTCAGTGGTCTTGCGTGTTCCCTGATTGCACCGCTGCAAACTATTATGAACGCAGTGGCGACGCTCATTTTCCTGTGCGCCTGTACCTCCTACGCCTTCTCCCTCTGTCAGTCCCTATATTGGCTTCCTGTTAGATATAGGGCTCAATTTAAGATTCTGGCGCTTGCTTACAAGTCCCTACATAATGCTGCTGCAACCTATCTATCCTCCTTAATACACAAGTATGTCCCTTCGATTCCCCTGCGCTCTGCTGAAGACCTACGTCTATTCTCTGTACGTACTCCCACCTATAATGCTCGCCTCCAAGATTTCTCCAGGGCTGAATCTTTTCTGTGTAACTCCCTTCCCTTCTCCATTAGACTTTCACCCAGTCTCCACTCCTTCAAAAAAAATCTTTGAAAACACACTTCTTCAGGAAAGCATATCCTTTAAACTGTTAGCGGATGTTCTTTTTTTTTTTTTTACATTCTTTATTTTTGTCATGTATGTCACAGCATTAAATGATAAATTTTGCAAGTGTGAAACAATACATCGCGAACTCTTCATCGATAACATTCGATCCTTTTAAAATGCAATCCTGAACGGGTAAGGCAGATAAACATCAACATTTGTCATTATAGTCAGGTGTGTGGGCTTTGTAGCCCTGGTTCATAACAGCGGAACCATTATTGAAATCAGTCTACCAGTATGTGTTGAATGCCTTCAGGGGTTCCCTTGGGGTGAAGGTGTGTGTCTGTATGTGTTAAGTAAAGCCCTACATCGGCCCGCAAGCCCATGATCCCCCCTCACCTCTCCCCCAGCCTAGGGTCCCCGGGATTGTGTTGTGCCCTGCCGTGTGATTTCGAGTGATAACCCCGGCACAAGTCCTCCAATCGATTGCTGTTTACTGAGACCTGTGGGGTCTAGAGTGCTTGTCTTTATGTGCTTATATATAGCTGCATTCTTGGTATTTTGAGCTTATTGACCCTTTGTGTGTCAGCTGGAAGATCTTGGTCCTTTCTGCATCCGTGAGTTAGATCCCTGTCTCTCTCTCCCACCGCTCCGTGAAGCCCAAAGGGCCCTTGTCTCCGCTGTTCACCAGTGCAGTATACAGGGTTGATACTCCATGTGAGAGATGTTGTCTGGCCGTGCATAATTCTTCAAGGTATAGCAAGGGGCAGTGCACGTGGTCCTTCCCCGCAATAGCGTTGTAGTAGGTTTTGAGTTGGTGGTAGTGGAATTCATCTAGTCCGGTTGGTCTGCGGTCTTGTAGCAGGTCTGTCAGGGATTTGAGGTTCGGGCCGTTGCACCATTGGCGGAGGTAAACCCAGTCAGGTGCCTGGAAGTTTGTAAGGGTAACATAGCTTAGCCCTCCTGCCAGTCTCGGGTTGTTAGTTATAGGTGTGAGCGGGTTGGGTGACGTGGTAAACCGCTTGGCATACCGCACCAGGCCCTGAGGGTGACATCGACCATTGGGTTGCCTGTGCGGACATCTCTGAACGTAGTCTCTCCCAGCCACGACAGGGCGGGGATCTGCCCTTGCGCTTGTTGGAGTTCCAACTCCACCGATTGCATAGTGTTTGGGTTGGCGTGCCAGTCGACCAGTCGGTGTAAGTGAGTCGCCTGGTAGTACATGAGTGCGGATGGTAGTCCCATTCCTCCTTCGCTCTTCGGTTGCTCCAGGATCGATCTTCGGACCCGTGTGGGCCGCTGGTTCCAGACAAACTGTCTGATGTTGGTCTATAGCATCTGGAAGAAAACTTGGGGGATGGCGGTAGGCAGCGTCTGGAACAGGTACAAAATGCGCGGCATCACATTCATCTTGAAGGCGCTCATGCGGCCAAACCATGATATGTACTGGGGCGTCCAGCGTTTTAAGTCCTGCTGTAGGGTCGCGAGGAGAGGGGCGAAGTTCAGTTGATATATCTATGTGAGATCTTTCGGTAGCCAAGTACTGAAGTATCGAAGTTTAGCTGCACAGATTCCTTTTCGGCATCCGTCGACAGGGGCACCACTTCCCGCTTACTACCTGTAGCTGCGTGGATGATGTTGAGGGCTCGGATGGTATTGTCCCTGGCCTCCCTCCCGGGTATGAAACCAACCTGGTCTGGGTATACCAGGTCCGGTAGAGCATGTGTGAGTCTGAGCGCCATTGCTTTGGCGAATATCATCAGGTCCGCATTCAGTAGCGAAATTGGGCGGTAGCTAGCACAGTTAGTGGGATCCTTGCCTTCCTTCGGAAGGATTGCAACTATTGCACTCAGGGTGTCCGTGGGGAACTGGCCACTGGTTCGTATTGAATTGAGGCCTGTCAGGAGTCTCAGTAGTAAAATATACTTGAAAGTGCAGAGGTATGATAGTGGTAATCCATCCGGTCCGGGAGCCCGGTGTGGCTTGGAGACTTTCATGGCCCCAGCCAGTTCCTCGATTGTCAGGGGTTGGTCTAGTTCTGCCTCTAGTTCCGGGGTGAGCCTCCGGACCACCTGGCGCTCAAGGTACGCAGTAATTTGGTCCTTGTGGCGCCGCATCACGGAACCCTCCCGGGCTCGCGCTTGGTCGTATAAAGCAGCGTAGTATTCCTGGAACGCTTGTAGGATGCCTTCTGGTAATCGTGTAACGCCTCTATTCCGAGCCTGGATCTTATGAATGAGTTGGGTCCTCCTTTTCTCCTGGATTATCCTTGCCAGTAACCTGCCACTCTTGTTAGAATATTTGTAAAAGAACCTAGCCAATGGTTCTTTCGAGCAGTGAGTAGTTGTCCCTGCGATAGTATGTCCCGGAGTTCTCTGTGGGCCACTGTAAGGTGGAGGTAGGTGCCTTCATCCAGTGTGTGTTTATGTTCGTGTTCCAATTCTGCAATTCGTTTCGTTAAGGTGTTCACGCGTGCGGTACGGTCTTTTTTTGCGTTTGGTGCTCACTGCTATGAGGTGTCCTCGGACGGCGCATTTATGCGCTTCCCAAAGCGTCAGGGGTGGCACCTCAGTCTTCTCGTTTTTGGCGAAGTATTGGGTTAGGGTGTCAGCTGTCGCGGTCGTAAGCTCGAGGTCGTCCAGTAAGGACTTGTTAAGTTTCCACTGTCGTTCCTTAGGTTCGAACAGTGGGGAGCTTGTGCGTGCCAGCACCGGAACATGGTCGGAGTGTTCCATCAACCCGATGTCTGTTTCTTGGAGCAGAGTCAGATATTCTTGCGCAAGGAATATGTAATCAATGCGACTGTAGTGCGTGTGAACCACCGAAAAGTGGGTGTAATCTCAGTCTTCCGGGTGCTTCACCCTTCAGCAATCCGCCAGCCCCAGCCTGCTCAGGGTTCGTAAGGTTGTGTGTGGGAAGTGCGCAGGCACCGCGCTTATACCCCTGTAGGTGTCCAGGTGGGGGACGAACGGCAGGTTCAGATCCCCTGCCACAACCAGCAAACCCTCCCTGAAGCTCTCCAGCTTGGTGAAAGTTCGGCTTATGAAAGTATGTTTTCTTCTGTTGGGACTGTACAAGCATGCAAATGTATATATGTGTGATCTGCTAGGGTGCCTTTGAGAAAGAGGTAGCGCCCATTGGAATCTAACAGTGTTGCATTGGAATGGTATCGTGCGTGCGAACAGGATTGCCACCCCTGCCTTCCTAGCATCCGGGTGGTTTGCACAGTATCCTGTTGGGAAGTGGCGGTTTTTAGCTTAGGTGCGTTCCCGCCTCTGAAGTGCGTCTCCTGCAAGAACGTCACAGACACCCTCACGGCCCACAGCTTATTGAACAGGTGCGTAGGCTTCTCGGGCACATTAAGACTCTGGACATTGTTCGACCAGTACGTTAGCTAGGCCGGTGTGAAGCCCGATTTGGCTGCTGCCGCGGTGGAGGGGGAACCCCGGGTCAGCCCCGGAGAGGGCCGGGGGGGGGCATAGTGGGGGTTAGGCAGAGAGTAGGGCTATGGCATCTGTCAAATGAGTTCAGGTGTGTGCAACAACAAATGAGTTTTGGTGCAACAACGACCCAGTCCCGGGAGTAGTCGTTCAAGAGGCAGAGGTGTGTAACTCCGGTAATATATACAGGTAGGGTCAGTCACAGTGGGGGCAGTGTAGCCACCTATGGAGGTGGAGCCGTCCGGTCGAAGATTTGTCCTATCCTCTGTCCCTCTTAGTGGCACCCATCCTGCGGGGGTTTTAATTGGTTATGTATGGTAGCTGATCTTGTTTAGGGGAGCTTTATGTGTGTTGGACCCTCCGTCAGCATCCGTGGTCTCTGTCCCTGCGCGTGCAGCTTTATGCTGGTGGTGTGTGTGTCCCTCAGGACCCATTCCCCGCTCCCCCGCCCATCCTGTCATGGTCCAGTGCATCCCTTGTGTCCCCGTCCTCCAGGCCCCAGCCCACCGAACCCCAGGCCAGATGATTCCGTCGTGTAGCATGAGTTTTCCGATTTGTGCCCTGCAACCCTCTGGTCCTATATTCAGTGCCACCGCCACCCCCTACCATTCGATTTCAACTGGGGTTGAAGCAGCCAGTTTGCACAGAATCACCAGGAGACATTCACTTCATTGTCAAAGCAGGTCACCATCTAGGGCAACCCGGCAAGGGGGCGGGAAAGTTGACACAAGTTGTCCTGTACATGACTGTGTGCGAAGTGGAGTCTCTCTGGGGGGGGGGGTCCATCGGGTATGTGTGTATTAACAGTTGGACATGAAACTTTTGTGCTTAACTATGTCCTAGGGTCTAATAGTAACTCGCCCGCTGTGCCCTTCACCGCCACACCATGCCTGAGGGCATGCATCTGATATGCTCTGCCGGCACTCCGGTTCGGGACACAGCGGGCGCCTGGGCCCACCCCCGCCCCACACTACCCTGTATCCCAGTGCAGCTTGTAGGTTAGAAGACCTGGATCCAGCCCCCCAGGTGTCCCATCCTGTGGCATAATGCGTGTTGCCACTGGCAGTTTAAGTTCTCGAGTCCCCCGGTCAGGTACGTCCTGGCCCTCCAATTGCGTCTCGCATGCCCCGCTTCCCACCCAGCCTCAGGGTTCCCCACGGGTTCTCTCCTCACCCCACTTGGGCGACTTACTTTGGTTAGGCCTCCTCACCCGTTGAGCTCCCACCTGGAGTCCCCGTCCCACCCAACATACAAGGCTCCCCAAGATGCTAGTCTCTTTAGACTGTCGGGTGTTCTACTAAATTAGCTAGGGCTGCTAGGACAGTACATACCCCATCCGAGGCCTTCATGCTGTCCCGGCCCGGGTTGTGAGTACAGTGCTGCAAGGGCTGTCCGCGTCCAGGCTGGTGCTGTTCTGATCGGGGCAGGGGTGCGGCTCCATCGTGTGCTGTCGCTTCGTTACTGGGGACTATTCTTTGGGATCCAGTTCGAGATTGGCACATCCGGCAGCCCGGAGGAAACAGGGCACATCATTAGGTAATTGGATGATGTGCCAGACATTACCGACCCTGGCCTGAAGGCTAAATGGAAACCCCTATTTGTAGAGGATTCTCCTTTTCTGCAGGAGGCGGGTAAGCGGCCGCAGGGCCCGGCGTGTTTTGAGGGTGATGATCGACAGGTCCTGGGATAGGGGGACCTGGGCGTCCATGTAGGTGATACGTTGTTGTGCTCTGGCGGCTCTCATGAGGGCCTCTTTTAGCTGGAATGACACCAGCGAGCAGACGACATCCCTGGGTTGTCCGTCCCTTCTGGGGGCTCTTAGGGCCCGGTGAGCCCTTTCAATGCTGAAGTCTTGTGGCGCCGCGTCCCCCAGTAGGTGCGTAAATAGGTCCGGGAGGATCACTTGCATCGCTTCCGCCTCCGGTAGGCCCCGGATCCTGATGTTATTCCGGCAGCCTCTATTATCCAGGTCCTCGATCTGCCGGCGGAGGTCCAGGAGGATGTTGCCCTGTCTCGTGGTGGCTAAGTCACCACTTTCTCCTCCATGGTGTCCACCCTTTCCTCCAGCACGGAAAGATCGCTGCGGTCTGCTGCGATTTCTTCCCAGTCTCAGCTCGGCCACCATTTCGCCTTTGTCCTTGCGGGTCAACATGCTTGTGGAGATTGCTGCCATATCCGCAGATATTTGGGATAATGCGCCGGCAGCTGGTGAGTTGCGTAATGATTCCACCGCACTGGAGCTTGAGGAGGAGGGTGCCGGTGTATCAGAGTCCATGGCACCGCGGAGGCCATGCGGTCTCGATAGAAAGTCATCCATCGGGCCGGGCTGTTGCCGCGCTGGGGTCGCTCCGGATGGCCCTGCGGTAGTGTCGCCTATTCTTCCCCATTTGTGTGTTTTTCTGCTGAATGTTACTGGGCTTAGCAGGTTGGAGCTCGAGTTAGGTGCGTCTCACTCCATCTGTGGTCAGGCCACGCCCCCGCCGATTTTCATTCCCCCTCCTCCTTGACTCCTCTCCTGCAACTGTCAAAAATAACCTACTAAGTTCCAAGTGAATACTTTTCTAGCAACCTATTTCATTACCCCTATGTAGCGGATGGCATTGGGCTGTCCTCAGAATTATGTGTATTCGTATGTGTTCGGTTAATTTTTGCCATATCTATGTAAATTGTATGCAGCATTTGCCTGATTGTTCGGTAAAATCACTCCAGTTCTTATGTTAGTGAAACTACCGAACAATCAGACCACACCAGGAATAAGTGTGCCTCCAATTACCGTTCACAACAATATTGCAAATGGGTAATTGGCAATCAGTGCAGTGTGTGCTTTGTCCTCTGGGTGGCCGCCATTCGGGAGACGAACACGTGGCGGAGGCCATCTTAAACTCCCGAACAGCGGTGTTTTGCCGTCGAGTGTCTGGAACCCATATCGGACACTTGGTTAGGCAAACACTGCTGAGACCTCCACACTGCCGTCAATTCGTGTAGGAACTACTGAACGGCTCCCCGTTCGGTAGAAAGAACCCCACGGACAAGGGGGTTTATCCGAATCCTCCCCAGTCTCCATAACCCAAGCCGTTCGTGTATTTTATTCCCTTTTTCTGTGACCGACCTTAGGGACAAAATTTATGGAACCCCTTTCGGCTGTTAACTCCAGCGCGGTCCGATCTGGGTGATTTTTTTAATATGTTTCTCACCCAGATCAGGGCTACCAGGGGATGTAATATTTAAATGGGTACCCCTATGTTTAGGGGTACATCCAGAAAAACAGGGGAACTGTGTACTGCATAATGGGATTATGAGTCATACTAAGGGGAAGGGATGTGTGGGTGGCACTCATATATGATTGGTGTACTGTATGATTACTGTAAATCCCTCCCTTGCATGGGAGAAAGCTTTAAAAGAAAGGTTGAGTGATTAAAAGTTCAGTTCTGCTCCTGATGCTGTGTGTCGTCCAGTCATTGGGATTGATATTGCCTGCTGGAATTATTGCCTTATGGATTTTTAATACTTGTTCCTGAGCCTCACTGGGATCTTGAGTGGAGATAACCTGTGAAATATCAGCTCTTCGCTACACCCTACTTATACCATTTGTGTCACTATACCCCACTCCATCTAGCATGTAAGCTCATTGAGCAGGCCCTCAATCCCTCTGTTACTGTGTCACAATACCCCACTCCCTCTAGCATGTAAACTCACTGAGCAGGCCCTCAATCCCTCTGTTACTGTGTCACTATACCCCACTCCCTCTAACATGTAAACTCACTGAGCAGGGCCCTCAGTCCCTCTGTTACTGTGTCACTATACCCCACTCCCTCTAACATGTAAGCTCACTGAGCAGGGCCCTCAATCCCTCTGTAACTGTGTCACTATACCCCACTCCCTCTAACATGTAAACTCACTGAGCAGGGCCTTCAATCCCTCTGTTACTGTCACTATACCCCACTCCCTCTAACATGTAAACTCACTGAGCAGGCCCTCAATCCCTCTGTTACTGTGTCACTATACCCCACTACCTCTAACATGTAAACTCACTGAGCAGGGGGCCCTCAATCCCTCTGTTACTGTGTCACTATACCCCACTCCCTCTAACATGTAAACTCACTGAGCAGGCCCTCAATCCCTCTGTTACTGTGTCACTATACCCCACTCCCTCTAACATGTAAACTCACTGAGCAGGCCCTCAACCCCTCTATTACTGTCACTATACCCCCTCCCTCTAACATGTAAACTCACTGAGCAGGCCCTCAATCCCTCTGTTACTGTGTCACTATACCCCACTCCCTCTAACATGTAAACTCACTGAGCGGGGCCCTCAATCCCTCTGTTACTGTGTCACTATACCCCACTCCCTCTAACATGTAAACTAACTGAGCAGGCCCTCAATCCCTCTGTTACTGTGTCACTATACCCCACTCCCTCTAACATGTAAACTCACTGAGCAGGGCCTCAATCCCTCTGTTACTGTCACTATACCCCACTCCCTGTAACATGTAAACTCACTGAGCAGGGGCCTCAATCCCTCTGTTACTGTGTCACTATACCCCACTCCCTCTAACATGTAAACTCACTGAGCAGGCCCTCAATCCCTCTGTTACTGTGTCACTATACCCCACTCCCTCTAACATGTAAACTCACTGAGCAGACCCTCAATCCCTCTGTTACTGTGTCACTATACCCCACTCCCTCTAGCAGGTAAGCTCATTGAGCAGGGCCCTCAATCCCTTTGTTCCTGTGCGTCCATTTGTCTGGTTACAATTACGTGTCTGTTAGTCCACCCATTGTACAGCACTGCGGAATTTTGCTGGTGCTATATAAATAATAAAATAATAATAATAATAATAATTTCCTCCAGGCCATCAAAACGTGGGATTCCTGATAATAAGCTATTTAGATCCCACAGTTTTTTTAAAATACAGAATCCTCAAAGGAAACAAATGTGCAAGTTATTTTAAAATCAGCTGGTAAAAGCATAAAACTACTGATCAGTTTTAAAATCTACCAAAACAAGTGGTGTTTTTTTAAATATTAAATAATGGTACAACAATGACAACCACTTTCGAGAGAAAAGTATTGATGATCACCATTCGAACATTCTAGATAATATGTGTAGAATTGCAAGACTGGTCGAATCTCCCCTCAATAAAAGTATTTTTTAAACACTTTATTTTTTTTAAACAAATTTTCCTTAAATTTCTTATTAAGTTTCTTATTAATTGCTTACTAAATAGAACTAATTTTGGTTTTAACAGATCAGAAGGACCGTGGCTTTGAAGTCGACTCGGGAAGTCCACCAAGCCCCAATGCTGAGCAATCCCTACAATCTGATGCAACTGCGATTCGACCTGAAGCAGGAGATATGGATGAAACGGATGCTGTGGCGAGTCTGCCCACCTTTAGTGATATTCTGGTTTCATACTCCACATTCCCAGGTATTGGTTCATCCACAAAATCATTCAATATCTATGAAATCATTTCTATTTATTGTTAGCAACATAATCCTTTCTGTTGCTGTTATTGTGAAGTAGAAGACAAACATTTGATGCCCTATTTAATTGTTGAAAATATTGACTTGCTCAAGCCAAGATCGGCAACATAGATAGAGACACTCCTTGGCCTCTCCATTAGTTTCAAACCTACAGAAAAAAATCTGGGTTCTAGCAGGTTGTGGCTCAGCAGGTACTTTAATTTACCTCTGCAGGATATCAACCTCCAGTCCTTTCACTGGTCTTTTCCAGTTCCAAGCGTATATCCGGCTGTGGCGATAGGTTATTGTATTTCCCACTCAGACAGCAGCAGTATGTCGGTAGTGAACGTAGCAGCTGTCCTGTCCCTAGACTCTATTATACAACTTTGTGATCTACTTTAAAGGGAACTTTTTCTCTCTTACTAACAATAATTTATGTCTTCAGTATTAATCCCTCTGCAATATATATATTTTATTTTTGTTCTGTGGAAATCTAAGTAGTTTAACAAATACATTTTTGTAATACAGGATTTGTATCATGGAGAGATAAGGTTATGGGCACGTGGTATGTGGAAACATTGGATGAAATTTTGGGGAGTCACGCAGGGACCCTTGACCTGCAAAATCTGCTTCTGAGGGTAAGGATTTCCTACTTTACACATTAACAGCAAATAATAATCGTGAGAGGGAAGCACGCACCAAGATTTGGCTTATTTTGATGATGTAAATAGGATCCATTATATTCCCATTATGAATGACATTATTGTATTGGGAATCCTTTTTTTTTGTCTGTCCATAGCTGATTGTTTCCTATTGACACAGGTACATCGCTAGTTCTGCTTTCTGATTGGCAGTTTGGTTTTTTTTACCACACTATTCTGTTATACTTGAAAAGTATTGAAAATAGTATAAATATAATTATTCATTTTATTACGATGCCCAGATCCCAAGCCTTAAGCAGAATATTTACTTGGAATAGTTATTTAAACATAATAATATTGTAAAGTTAATTAATAGATGTTGGCTTTCAGGGTTATTTACTGAAGGGAATTTAACATTTAAGGACAAAACAGCTAAACTGGAAACATTCTCGAAGTCAAATGTTCTTCCAGTTTAAATTGTAAATTCACTTTGAATTCTCACTTTAGTGAACAGCCTGCTTGCAATATGTGGAAATCGGATGAGAGAGGTGAATAGATGTATATCTGTATAAGGATATATATAATTATTAAAAGGACATCGTAAATATGAATTTAGATATTGATAAGCGGAGCCAGATTTTAATATTGATCTGCGGAGAGAGATGATATCTAAATAATAAAATAATAATAATAATAATTTCCTCCAGGCCATCAAAACGTGGAATTCTAGATAATAATTTAGATATTGATAAGCGGAGCCAGATTTTAATATTGATGTGCGGAGAGAGATGTGTGAACATATGTAACCTGCTACTGACATGCTGTCAGCCATTTTGCTGTTTATTCATCATCTTAAAATATAATCAAAGAAGAATATTTACTCTAAGAAATAAGAAGAACTATGTTTTATTGCTACAATTTATTAATGGATATCTGGACTGTTTTTTGGATTGCAAAAGGAAAAGTTATTTTGAAAGCGTGTCTTGTCAGATGTTGCCAGGGGGGGGAAAGGTGAAATGTGTGCTTAAGTTGTGAAAGAGGAAGTCTTATATGTGTTAACTTTTATCATAGACAAGCGATATTTTAGCGAAGTAAGACGCATGACTGTGGTCAAGTCATCTGTTAGAAAGATCATGCTATGCTTAAACTTGTGAACCTTAAATTTGTCAGTTATGCTAGAATTTAGCCAATAGGAAATAAGACCATATTTGGAGTTCTGATTCAAGCTAAACGAAAGGCTGGTTCCGGGTCATATGTATAAAATATGAGGAATTGTAACATGATGTTAGATTGCTTCTTGCCAATCTCCATGAGATATCTCTGTGTATTGTAATGGTCAATTAAACGCTTTTTATTGAACCTGGTAATATTTTTGTCTACTTCCACAGATGATATCTAAATGAATTGGATCATATTTATTGTGTCGGCTGCTCTTTAGGATTTTCTCTTCTCCTTGCATAACAGTTTCCCAGTTTAAACAAAGTACGGAGCTGTTCAGTGAAAACTAATTTGATGAAAACATTTAATTTAGTTTTCTTTCTTCTTTTGATGCAGGTTGCCAATAAAGTTTCAAGTAAAGGAACATACAAGCAGATCCCTGGATACTTTAATTTCCTGCGAAAGCGTTTTTTCTTTAGAACGTAGTTAAGATTGCGGTGTGATTGTTGCAGTGTTAAATCATCAGAGCGAGGCTCTGCACTAATCTGAGAGAAAGCTCCAAATTTTCAGGTCAGAGTGTTTTGCTTTTACTCCCTTAGTAAATCTCGCCAGTTCTATGCTTGCCTAAAACACTGACTGGATGGTGAGAATGAACTGCTAACTCTCCAAATGCATTATGATGCAGGACTGAAAATTTCAGCACACCCGCCCATGACTGGCGTAACAGCATATTGGCTGATCATTTTAACTCAGTGAGAGTTTAGAAATCCTTTTCACTGAACACCCAGTGCAGGGAAGCTTGAAAAGCTTGGTTCGGGCACATTGAAAGAAGAGATAATGCAGAGTTCTCTACCCATCTACTTTATATTTGCCAAACATGAACTTTTATTGTTATCTGATCATTGTATCACAGTGAATAAAGAGGTGTTGACTGAAAATAATTTATATAAAAAAATGTAATTACATATGTGCACTTTAAAGAGGGAAAAAAATCTATTGTTTATGCTAATTGAAATGCCGAAAAATACATTGAATTTTTTTATTTTTTTGTTACATCCGTGTGTCAACACTAATCTGTTATCAAACAAAAATTTCATTAAAACAATAACTGCAAATAAAATATATATTTCAGAATATCAGGCTACAGTTGCTGTATTCTTCCTGCTTTGAGGTTCATCTCCCAACAGATTGACTTAAATAAATTAGGGATCGACCGATATTGATTTTTTAGAGCCGATACCGATACCGATATTCCGTGAACTTTCAGGCCGATAGCCGATATAATTTGCCGATATTCTGTACATTTACCATTGGAAAATAAAAACTATTTCTAAAGGTAAATGCACAAAATATACATGCCACGTGTAGTGGATACAGTGTGTTTAGACAGGGGAGCTGTATGTGTTTGTGTAGTGGATGCAGTGTATGTTTGTGTAGTGTGTGTAGTGGATGCAGTGTGTGTGTGTGTCTAGTGTGTAGTGGATGCAGTGTGTATTTGTCTAGTGTGTAGTGGATGCAGTGTGTATTAGTGTAGTGTGTGTATATAATGAAAGCAGAGTGATTGTGTAGTGTGTGTAAAGTGAATGCAGTATATACTAAATGCAAAGTGTGTGTTTATATAATGCAGAGTGTGTGTGTTTGTATAGTGTGTGTGTATATATAATGCAGTGTTTGTGTAGTGTGCATTATATAAACACACTATGCAAACACACTGCATTAATTATATACACACACTAAACACACTGCATTATATACGCACACTACACACACTGCATTATACACACACTACACAAACACTGCATTGTATACACGCACTGCATTATACACACACTGCATTATATACACACACACTACACAAACACTGCATTGTATGCACACTGCATTATATACACAGTGTGTTTGTGTAGTGTGTGTGTGTATATAATGCAGTGTGTAGTGTGTTTGTGTAGTGTGCATTATATAAACACACTACACAAACACACTATACAAACACACTGCATTATATACACAGTGTGTTTGTGTAGTGTATGTGTATATAATGGAGTGTGTGTGAGGGGGGGCATTTTTTATTACATTTTTTTTTTATATATATATTTAATATTTATTTTTGTTGTCCCCCCCTCCCTGTTTCATACTTGGCCAGGGAGGGGATATGACCATCCCTGGTGGTCCAGTGGTATTGGCTGAGCTCTGGGGGGGAGCGGGCATCAAGCGCTTACTCACCTCCCAGCAGCTCCTCCAGCTCCCCAGTGCAACTCTCGCGGCCAGCGTGTCGCGCGGAGCGTTGCCAGGACGGCTGCGGGTCTCGCGAGAGTTGCACTGGGGAGCTGGAGGAGCTGCTGGGAGGTGAGTAAGCGCTTGATGCCCGCTCCCCCCCCCAGGACCGCTGGGCTTGTAATGAGCCTGGCGGTCCTAGGAGGTATTATCGGCAATATCGGTATCTGAATTGGCCGATACCGATATTGCCGAAAATACCGAATATCGGCCGATTATATCGGTAAAACCGATAATCGGTCGATCCCTAAAATAAATCCCCGACCATGTCTGTCCAGAGCATTCTAATGAAATTAGACACACTGTATCTGAATTACTATGAATTTACCCACCGTACTTTTTACATTGAAATAAAATATAAAATTTCCAAACGGTAATTGTTCTAGGACGTGTCAATGAAAAAACATGCACTCAGCATTGGGTAGCTGGACAATCTATGGTAATGTTTGGAATGTTTATACCTTCAAACACCAATCTGTACAATCAAGGTTTCTAATTATGACCGGAAATGTTTTTAAAAATAATGAGGTGGGATACTTTTTCAACCTACTCCTGCTCAGACAATGTAGAAGTTTCTTTCATAGCAGCTGGTTATCGGTGAACAGACAGGCGAATTAAGATTCCACAGGGCATTAGACTGGTTATTGCATTGGGGGCCACATTTCACCCATGGTAAATGATAGTGAATGGGGCAAAGCGTGGAGTTGTATTTTCATGCCACCCAGACCCTTGTCTCACCTCTGAGCACTGAGTTGCAATCTTATGATTCATCTGGTTGTGCAGAATCTATCCTTACTAGCCCATGTGATGGATTGTCATCATTTGTGATGGTTTTCATTAATAGAAACCCTGCAGCCTCTTCTAAATGATCATCCATGGATTTCTTCCATCTAAATTCCCTCCTTATTTGACCTGTGAATGCTGTGAAGACCCACACCTGCTCTGTGGGACTGAAACATGTGTACGTTGTTATTTTATCCTTGACATGCTAAGATGCAACTCCGTCTGCCAGGGACAAACTGTGATAAGTGATTGAACACTTTCCTTGGTCCAGCAATGTACTCCCTGATTACTCGACAGTGTTCACGCATATGTCTGTGTTCCTGATAACTGAAAGAGACAAAAAAATTAATTTCTGATCCTTTATTTTATATGCCGCCTGAAACAAAGTCTAAAATTAAATCTTCAGTGTATTAGACACAGTCTGAAAGTAACAGTTTTTAACATCATATTGTCCAAACTGTTCTCTGACACTTTCTTTGTTATTTGATCAGTACCTGCTAACCTGCAATCGTAAAGTGGATCGCTTATGCAAACACCCCCAAAGGTGACAACGGTTAGGGTCCAGTGGCCACAGGGTGCAATGAAAGGTAGGCTTAACAGCCTGAAGTTATCCCTTGTGACCACCTCCACCACCATATTCTTTCTGCAGACCTCGTTTGGCTCCTGGTGTTTCATCTGTTATGGGCCACGTCAGTCTATATTTGTGAATATGCACCGGAGTACAAAAACGAGGTCTGTGGATGGTGCAAGACACCTGTCACTTGTGATGTTTGCATGGATTGGGCAAAGATTGATGGTGGGGCTCCACCTTTCCTCAACTTTTGTGAACTTCAAGCTTGTCCATAAGACAAAGTAGTCCCCTCGGAGTGTGTAAATATCTCTATTAAATACTGAGTACAGTGACCGTGCTGCTTTAAATGGATGCTTATTATACATAAAAATGCAAGAACAGCACATGAAAAGTCATTCAAATGGAATAAAAAATATAAATGTATGGATTTGGTGAAGATTGTGGAGAAAAAGCAGTGAATTCCGCTCAGACCAGTCATTATGCTCACTTACCCTCCTATAGCACTGCTGAACTTCTCCCAGTGCCATGCCTTTGAGGTGCAACAAAGGTTTCATGTAGTTTTAGTTCAATCCTCATCTTCTAGTAAAGTTGACATCATGAGCAGAGGACATTTTGGAGAAAGAAAATGATAACACACAGGTCAGGAGGGGCAGAAAGTGTGAGTTCATGGAACAAAATAAATCATCTCAATGACTTTCCTCCAATAAGTGAGCACTTCAGGAGAACTTGGCATATGGACGGCATTGATTGGCAATTGTGCCAGGCAGCCTGGTACCCTGGAATGGATGCTGCACATCATTGCTTCCATTAATGGAGTGCATGCTGACTATATAGCTCGGCACATCATTGCTTCCATTAATGGGGTGCATGCTGACTATATTGCTCGGCACATCATTGTTTCCATTAATGGAGTGCATGCTGACTATTTGGCACATCATTGCTTCCATTAATGGAGTGCATGCTGACTATATGGCTCGGCACATCATTGCTTCCATTAATGGAGTGCATGCTGACTATATGGCTCGGCATATCGTTGCTTCCATTAATGGAGTGCATGCTGACTATATGGCTCGGCACATCGTTGCTTCCATTAATGGAGTGCATGCTGACTATATGGCTCGGCACATCGTTGCTTCCATTAATGGAGTGCATGCTGACTATATGGCTCGGCACATCGTTGCTTCCATTAATGGAGTGCATGCTGACTATATGGCTCGGCACATCGTTGCTTCCATTAATGGAGTGCATGCTGACTATATGCTCGGCACATCGTTGCTTCCATTAATGGAGTGCATGCTGACTATATTGCTCGGCACATCATTGCTTCCATTAATGGAGTGCATGCTGACTATATGGCTCGGCACATCGTTGCTTCCATTAATGGAGTGCATGCTGACTATATGGCTCGGCACATCATTGCTTCCATTAATGGAGTGCATGCTGACTATATGGCTCGGCACATCATTGCTTCCATTAATGGAGTGCATGCTGCTATATGGCTCGGCACATCATTGCTTCCATTAATGGAGTGCATGCTGACTATATGGCTCGGCACATCATTGCTTCCATTAATGGAGTGCATGCTGGCTATATGGCTCGGCACATCATTGCTTCCATTAATGGAGTGCATGCTGACTATATGGCTCGGCACATCATTGCTTCCATTAATGGAGTGCATGCTGGCTATATGGCTCGGCACATCATTGCTTCCATTAATGGAGTGCATGCTGACTATATGGCTCGGCACATCATTGCTTCCATTAATGGAGTGCATGCTGGCTATATAGCTCGGCACATCATTGCTTTCATTAATGGAGTGCATGCTGACTATTTGGCTTGGCACATCATTGCTTCCATTAATTGTGTCACTGGCACAATAGCTCCGACTCAGCTCACTTCTCTATTGTCCAAGCCTCAAACTTTGGGTGTATAGATGTATACATTGTGGGAACCAAATTACTAGCAAATACATAGATACACCCAAGTTTTAACATTACGGGACATTAGCATGTCTTAATGGGGTTCCTGTGCTGGAATTACATCATCAGTGAATACAAATACAAAAAGATAAATCCTGCGCTCACTCCCATCACTACTGGGCAGCAGCAATGACTACAGTACACATCAGCCCCATCTTCAGTGCTGAAGTTACTGCTTCAGTTTCACATGAGGTCACTGTGCATGGAAAGCTATCATGGCATCCAGATAGGAAGGCGCACGGCAGGCTCCCCCAGAAATCTGATCCCCACAATCTTCTACCATCAAGGAAACCTCATCAAACATTAAAAATGTCACTGAGCACATAACATTTTCATGTTCTATTATTTTTAAACGCCCCAGAAGGTGTTTTTATTAGTTTTTTTAAAACCATAATTTAATTGTAATTTGAAAAACATTGTATTCATGCAGTTCACTTAAAACTTTTTTGTTCTTTCTGAATAAATTCCGTTACCAAAAATGACATTTTTAAAGGTAGTCAATTTTAACCTGTTTAATGTGTCTCTCACATTATTATTATTAGTAGTATTTTTTTTTAAAGAACAATTCAACAATTTTAACTTGTTTAGTGAAAAGTTATCAAGGGACCATCTGTCACCTCTTCTTCAAATAAATTGTCACCTTTTTGCCAAAGTACAAACACAGAATGTTAAAGTAAATACGTTCATATCAAAGTCAGAGAATAAAGCACATTGGACACGTTATTTGAACACTTTCCAGAGTATTGATCCCTGGGCCAAGTGCTCGCTATCTTCGCTATATAAGGGTGCGGGGTCACTAGTCTGTACTGAAAAGTCACAATGTTGAAGCTTGTGGTTCTTACTATCTTCTTGGGCTACGGTAAGTTCAACATTTAGTTTTATTTTTAATTCTAACATAATTATGTTTCTGTGAAACAACATCAAGCATTGTTATTAGAGTGATATAACAAGAAGACAAAAAATATATAAGCAAAGCCCATACTTCTTTTATAAAAGTCACACAGCACAGTTTTCTTATGACTTTGACTTTCTTCAAGTACAAATGAAATACTTTAATTCTTAAACGGAACCTTCAGACCAGGACTGACCCATTCTTTTTAATGCATTATATAGATAACACATTGACAAATACACAATTAAATAAAAAATGATACAAAGATACTCAGAAATATTTCCTACACATTCCCAGGATGTACAACTTCTACAATACGCTCTTGTCAAATCAGAAAGTGACTCCGCTCACTAAACGTTCTAGAATACTGCCGTGTTTATTCCATAAGCAGCATTTTATGGACAAAATAAGCCACAGTTCAATTGCCAGTTTAAAATAATAATAGCAGACTGGTCCACATGCTTGGAGAGAGACCATCTGAAAGGCAGTCACCCAGAACAGAGAAATAAAGGACAGGGTTTGTTTTTTTGTTGGTGTGCGTTCAATTTCCCAATGACCCATTACTAATTGCCAAGAATTTTGGTTCTTTTTAGTTCATTAGAGAGGTTTTTTTTAATAGACTGAACATGAGGTGTCCTTTCCACATCTCACTTGTCTTTTTCTATATTTTGCCCAATCACTAGATATATATAAGTATTGATCTAATATCCGTGTCCTGTGTTTCAGCCTACGGCTGTGGGGTTCCCACCTATCTGCCCAATCTTTCCAGGGTGGTTAATGGTGAAGATGTGAGACCCAACAGCTGGCCATGGCAGGTAAGAAGGGAGCGTGCAAATTGCAGATTTCCATTCAGTAATTGCTACAAAATACTAATTCTTATGAAATTCTCAACCTGTAGATCTCACTGCAGTATGAAGCAACCAGCGGCTGGGGACACACTTGTGGGGGAACTCTGATCACCGAAAACTGGGTGCTGACTGCCGCCCACTGTATCAGGTATCCCTCGATTAATACATGTATTTCTCGTGTTTTGTATTTTTTTAGTCATTGTTTTTGCATATTGATGAATACATTAATTTGTTAGTTACTTTGTAGTTGTTTTTGGTTAAATCCATTGAATGTTTCATGTATTTATTTAGCCTATAGCTGGTAGAAAATCCATTTATTGTTTTTCTAGGGTTTTGTTTTGCTATATCAATGTATTATACATTTATTTTTAATGCATTTGCAACGGTTTGGTTAAAAGGAATAAATAATTCATTTATTGCTCAATTTACTTTGTTCTTTTGTGAATACAGTTGTTATACATTTATTTCCTAGATGTTTTGTTGTGCTTTCTTGATGATGGCTAACAGATAATAATTATTTGTGTTGCAGTTGCTTTATTGTTTAACATTTGCACTAGTCAGTAAACCTGTTCTTTTACCGTCCATGGATCTTTTGGCCAAACTGACCAATTATCCCATCTCCTTCCTGCTCCTCAGCTCCCGAACATACAGAGTATTTCTGGGAAAACATAACCTGAAGGATGACGAACAAGGATCCATCGCTATCTCACCTGAAAAAATCATCGTCCACGAGAAATGGAACTCCTTCTTCATCCTGTGAGTGTGGCGGGGGCTGATTAGTGTTTTAAAAAAAAAAAAAAAAACAAATTTATTGATGGAAGAAATGTTTAGAACTAATAATAATAGATAAAAAGACAACATTTACTAGTACGAAGATTAATCAATAATGATATAGCCTGTTGGGCAAAACAATTACAATACTACAAAATATAGAATAAATCATTAGATAAATGTGAGCAGTTCTTTATATTTTTAGAAATGATCAATTTGGTGCTTTACAACCTGAACCTGGGTGTGTTACCAAACAAGAGGAAAATGAAATGGAAAAAAGGGAAAACTATTAGACAGGTGTTTATTAGGTAATAATATCCTTAAATGTAAATATCCACACAGTATGATCACACTATAATGGTCAATATAAGAGTCATTGCTGACCTAGGACCCGTAATGGCCAATATAGGAGTCATTGCTGACCTAGGACCTTTAATGGTCAATATAGGAGTCATTGCTGACCTAGGACCTTTAATGGTCAATATAGGAGTCATTGCTGACCTAGGACCTTTAATGGTCAATACAGGAGTCATTGCTGACCAAGGACCTGTAATGGCCAATATAGGAGTCATTGCTGACCTAGGACCTTTAATGGTCAATATAGGAGTCATTGCTGGCCTAGGACCTGTAATGGCTAATATAGGAGTCATTGCTGGCCTAGGACCTATAATGGCCAATATAGGAGTCATTGCTGGCCTAGGACCTATAATGGCCAATATAGGAGTCATTGCTGGCCTAGGACCTATAATGGCCAATATAGGAGTCATTGCTGACCTAGGACCTTTAATGGTCAATATAAGAGTCATTGCTGGCCTAGGACCTATAATGGTCAATATAGGAGTCATTGCTGGCCTGGGACCTGTAATGGCCAATATAGGAGTCATTGCTGACCTAGGACCTTTAATGGTCAATATAAGAGTCATTGCTGACCTAGGACCTATAATGGCCAATATAGGAGTCATTGCTGACCTAGGACCTGTAATGGCCAATATAGGAGTCATTGCTGACCTAGGACCTGTAATGGTCAATATAGGAGTCATTGCTGACCTAGGACCTATAATGGCCAAATATAGGAGTCATTGCTGACCTAGGACCTGTAATGGCCAATATAGGAGTCATTGCTGACCTAGGACCTTTAATGGTCAATATAGGAGTCATTGCTGACCTAGGACCTATAATGGTCAATATAGGAGTCATTGCTGACCTAGGACCCGTAATGGCCAATATAGGAGTCATTGCTGACCTAGGACCTACAATGGCCAATATAGGAGTCATTGCTGACCTAGGACCTATAATGGTCAATATAGGAGTCATTGCTGACCTAGGACCTATAATGGTCAATATAGGAGTCATTGCTGACCTAGGACCTATAATGGTCAATATAGGAGTCATTGCTGACCTAGGACCTGTAATGGTCAATATAGGAGTCATTGCTGACCTAGGACCTGTAATGGTCAATATATGAGTCATTGCTGACCTAGGACCTATAATGGCCAATATAGGTGTCACTGCTGGCCTAGGACCTGTAATGGTCACTATAGGAGTCATTGCTGACCTAGGACCTGTAATGGTCAATACAGGAGTCATTGCTGACCAAGGACCTATAATGGTCAATATAGGAGTCATTGCTGGCCTAGGACCTGTAATGGTCACTATATGAGTCACTGCTGACCTAGGACCTATAATGGTCAATACAGGAGTCATTGCTGATCAAGGACCTATAATGGTCAATATAGGAGTCATTGCTGGCCTAGGACCTGTAATGGTCAAGATAAGGCATTCGTAAGATAAGGCTAGGGACTAATGAAAGTATTTAGAAAATTGGGCAGACTAGATGGGCCGAATGGTTCTTATCTGCCGTCACATTCTATGTTTCTATGTCAATATAGGAGTCATTGCTGACATAGGACCTGTAATGGTCAATATATGACTCATTGCTGGCCTAGGACCTATAACGGTCAATATATGACTCATTGCTGGCCTAGGACCTATAACGGTCAATATAGGAGTCATTGCTGGCATAGGACTTATAATGGTCAATATAGGAGTCATTGCTGGCCTAGGACTTATAATGGTCAATATAGGAGTCATTGCTGGCCTAGGACTTATAACGGTCAATATAGGAGTCATTGCTGGCCTAGGACCTATAATGGTCAATATAGGAGTCATTGCTGACCTAGGACCTATAACGGTCAATATAAGAGTCATTGCTGACCTAGGACCTATAACGGTCAATATAGGAGTCATTGCTGGCCTAGGATTTATAACGGTCAATATAGGAGTCATTGCTGGCCTATGACCTATAATGGTCAATATAGGAGTCATTGCTGGCCTAGGACCTATAATGGTCAATATAGGAGTCATTGCTGGCCTAAGACCTATAATGGTCAATATAGGAGTCATTGCTGGCCTAGGACCTATAATGGTCAATATAGGAGTCATTGCTGGCCTAGGACCTATAATGGTCAATATAGGAGTCATTGCTGGCCTAAGACCTATAATGGTCAATATAGGAATCATTGCTGACCTAGGACCTATAATGGTCAATATAGGAGTCATTGCTGGCCTAGGACCTATAATGGTCAATATAGGAGTCATTGCTGGCCTAAGACCTATAATGGTCAATATAGGAATCATTGCTGACCTAGGACCTATAATGGTCAATATAGGAATCATTGCTGGGCTAGGTTCTCTAAGGAAAGTCTCTAAGCACCATAATCACTGCTGCCAGCTTTAGTGCTTATTGGATGTCAGAAGTGCCCAGGCGGCATCCCATATGAATTTGTTAAGCCGTTTTAGATCAATTAGGTCCGGCCAGGGCTGCTGCAGTGATCCTTTAACAATGTAACATTCTGAGTGTAACCTACCAGCACTGACACATTGTAACATTATTGGAGGGACATTTATTTCACAATGCTCTCTCTGTGTAGCTAGAAAACACTAATATTCTGCATCTTTGCCACAGCAACGACATTGCCCTGATTAAACTGGCAGAGCCTGTGCCTCTGAGTGATAAGATCCAGCCCGCCTGTTTGCCCGCTGACGGTGCCCTCCTGAGCAATAATTTCCCCTGCTACGTTACTGGATGGGGGCGTCTTTACAGTAAGATATAGCCTTAGAAATTAATCGTCATTTCAGCATATACTGAAAACCATCAGGGCCGGACTGGGGATACAAAGCAGCCCTGGAAAAAAAATTTGTGCCAGCCCCATAAGTCACTGCGCCATATATTGTCGCGTGTAATATGTAAGGCTATGTCTTGCCAGGACAGATGATTGTTTAATTATACAGTAAGCATACTCACATGCAGACACAGGCAATTTCACTGACATCTCAATGACACACAGCCTCATAGACAAACAATCTCACTGATATACATCAGCTCATTGACATAAAAACACAAGCTCACTCACTAGCAGACGCACACACACAGCTTAATGTGGTGGTACTGGTGTCTATAGCCTGTCCCTACAGGCTTTTCAACGTAAACACTGACTTTTCAGAGAAAAGGCAGTGTTTACATTGCTTCAAAGTGACACTGCTAGTGACAGTCACTCAGACGGTCACTAGAGGTGCTTCCTGTGTTAGTGCACCTACATTCAGGGCCTCCACACTCTGTAGGTGCTGAACGTTCCCCATAGAGATACATTGATTCAATGCATCTCTATGAGGAGATGCTGATTGGAGTGGCGTTTTGAAGCCAATCCTATGGCAAAGCATTGGATTGGCTGAGATCATCAAGCTTGATGATCTCAGCTATAGAGGCAGGGCCAGTCGAGGGGAGACCAGCACGCTGCGTGGGGAAAAAAAGGTGAGCAAAAACACTATTTTTAAACACACATATACACCATGACAGACACAGAAACACACATATACCATGACAGATACACACCCCATGACAGACACACACACACCATGACAGACCATGACATAGACAGGCCATGACACAGACAGACCCACACACACACATGACACAGACAGACACACACCCCGTGACAGACAGATACACACACACCCCGTGACTGACAGACAGACACACACCCCGACACAGACAGACACACACCCCGTGACAGACAGACACACACACACCCCGTGACAGACAGACACACACACCCCGTGACAGACAGACACACACACACCCCGTGACAGACAGACACACACACACCCCGTGACAGACAGACACACACACACCCCGTGACGGACAGACACACACTCCATGACGGACAGACAGACACCCCATGACGGACAGACAGGCACACCATGACACAGACAGGCACACACCCCATGACGGACAGACACACACCCTGTAGCGGAGGCCTGGTATTTCACAGGTTAACTCCACTAAGATCCCAGTGAGGCTCAGGAACAAGTGATGAGAAATCCCATGAAGTAATAATCCCAGCAAGCAAGGTAATCCACGAATATTCCCATACAGATCCCAATGACTGGACAACACACAGCATGAGGAGCAGAACTGACTTTTATTCCACACAACCTCCTTTTAAGCATTTCTCCCATGCAAGGGAGGGATTCACATTCATTAGTACAGTACCCAATGAAATAGCAGTTACCTCCCACACATCTCCTCCCCTTAGTATGACACCTAATCCCATTATACAGGTTACAGTTTTCCCCAAGTTCTAGATGTACCCCAAGATTAGCAGGTACACCCATACTTTGGTAGCCCTGATCTGGGTGACTAAGATATCTAAAATTCACCCAGATCAGACCAGGGGTTCGGGAGTTAGGTGGAGGGTGAAATTTGACCGACCACACATGAGGTGGTATCCAAAAAGGGTTCCATGTGTTTTGGCCCTGCAAATTTCACCCTCCACCTAACTCCCGAACCCCTGGTCTGATCTGGGTGAATTTTAGATATCTTAGTCACCCAGATCAGGGCTACCAAAGGGTCTCCGTTCGGGAGGTAAAATACACAGAAATACATGACATCCACCATTAAAACGGCATTCGCATGAATGCCCTTGTTCGGTACTCCAAACTCACTGAACGGGCGGCTGACTCGTCTTCCCGTTCGTGAGTTATGGAGCTCTGGAGGTGTCAGCGGTGTTCGGGTAATCGAGTGTCCGATTTGAGTTCCAGATACTCGACGACCAAACAACGCTGAGCCTTTTGTGTGTAAGATGGCCGCTGCCACGTGTTCGCATGCCGTATGGCGGCCACCCAGATACATCCATAAACCACCTATTAGTCTGCGGTTAACAAGTACCTTACTGCTTAATTAGGGACACACTTCACTCTGGGGTGGTCTATTAATTCGGTAGTTTCCATTCGTATGAAATACAGATGTAAACTACCGAACAATCATACGAATGCCAGTTACAATGAAATACAAAGCAGAAACAACACATGAATTGCAGGATTCTCATAGTCTTTAAGGACAGCCACAGTACCATCCGCTACACACACCATGACACAGACACACACACACCATACAGACAGACACACACACACACCATACAGACAGACAGACAGACAGACACACACACACACACAAAATAAATAACACACACACACACACCATACAGACACACACACTATAACAGACACACATTACTAATACCTGTCAGGGGGAGGTCTTCTGGCGGCCGCTGGGGGAACTGCGCTGGCTCTGCTCCCCAGCAGATGTCATATTCCGGCCCCGGTCTCATTAAGCTGCGATCGAGGGCGGGAGAGCAGAGACAGCGCAGCTCCCCCAGCGGCCGCCAGAAGACCTCCCCCAATGGCCGCCAGAAGACCCAGGTGTCTGACCGGCCCCAATTGCCGACGGCCCACCGGGAAATTTCCCGGTATCCCGGTGGACCAGTCTGGCCCTGGAAACCATCAACTGCTTATCAGGAAACATAATGACATTGACAGGTTATTCACTACAGTGAGAATTCAAAGTGAAATAAGTCAAACTAGAAAAAGAGTCAGCTCTGCTCTCAGCTTGGCTACTCTGGCCTTAAATTGGAAATTCACTCTGAATTCTCTTTAAATGAAATGTAAATAACACAAGAAATAAAAATGACCAGCTGAGGTCCAATATGTGATCACACAATGTTTTCTGCGTCCTGCGCAAGGCAGAACATAATGGGTTCTGCAGGACTCTTATTTTAAATGTATATTAAACATTTAGCTACTGACATCACTACCCAGTTCAGTCCTGGCACAGTCTGGCACAGCCTGGCACTGAAGGAGGACATACAGAAACATTGTTTCAGTTTCTGCTCCTCTCCCAATGCTGACTGCCAGGTGCGAAGGACAGATGTTATAACAGTGACTGGCTGGAAACTAAGATGGAGGTGCCCAGCCCTAGGATATAAATGTGCAGATTTTTACATTGACTTTTATTTTCACATCTCACAAACACATATTTGTTAAATAGAGGGATAAGAGAACGTTAGAAATCCTGGAAGGTGACAGCTCCTCTTTAAATGGTCCAAGTAACTCATTCGTATACAAGACAAATATATTTATTATCCTCCATATGGATGTACAATAGATTACATTATTCCCCTTTGTCTTCCAGCCAATGGACCCATCGCTGAGAATCTGCAGCAAGCCCTCCTGCCTGTGGTGGATCACGCCACCTGCACCCAGCGCGACTGGTGGGGAACTCAGGTCAGGACCACCATGGTCTGTGCTGGAGGCGACGGCATTGTGTCCGGATGCAACGTAAGACATCTTTTCTTATCAAATTCTTTTCCTGTATTTATTTATTTATTTATTTATTAAGACATCTTTTCTTATCGAATCCCCTTTTCCTGTATTTATTTAGTAAGACATCTTTTTCTTATCGAATTCCCTTTTTCTGTATTAATTTATTACAAATGTCTGGAAACCTAGGTACACGGTGCTGTGTCCTGTATCTGTATTTTAAATCTTTGTGTAAAGATGGAGCTGGTTCAGACAAACTATATAGATTTTTATAGAACGTGGTCATTCTTGCCTCACATGTAAGTAATAAGTTAATTGGCTGCACCCATTTACATTTACTGATTAGATATGTATGTTTTCAAAGGGAGATTCTGGCGGACCCCTCAACTGTCAGGCAGCAAATGGAAACTGGGAGGTCCACGGTGTGGTCAGCTTCGGCTCTGGTCTGAGCTGTAATTATGAGAAGAAACCTACTGTCTTCACCCGTGTGTCCGCTTACATTGACTGGATCAACGAGGTGGGTGTCACTGGATTCCACTACCAGTATACATGTCTGTTTATTTGTGCTGTGCATGGGGACATTAGTTAGAAAGTTTGGATGGTCTGTATATTTTATAGACAATTCCAGATTGAGACACAGTCAACCCTGTATGATTAGTGTCTTCTTTCTCATCTCAGCTGTAATCAGTAAATATTCCATGGAATGATCCCTCTATCACTGCCATGAAAACTCGCCCTCCCTGCCCTCTGATACAAAAGTCTTCTCTCAAACTGCCACACAACTCTAAAAATTCACTTGCAACTGCCCCCTCAAAATGTACCGAAAATAAATTCTTACACAAACTCTGCAAATACCATATCTGCATAGTTTGTGGTAATATTACAACTTGTTGAAGTGGTTATGGTGCAGGAATGCTGTGGGTTCCATCTCTCCACTCTTCTGTCAAAGAGTTCCCAGTTTCTGAAATATCAGTGTGGCTCTCCGCAGGACCTAAAGCCTCCCCCGCCTCCTCCCCCCATGTCCGGGGCTGTCGTGAGAGGGGTACAGCCGATATGGCTATAAAATCATCCCCAATGTGCATATATATTATTGCTATATACCGGTATATGTGCCTGTGCAGGCCACTGGTGGAATGTATAGTGAAGAGGGGGCGCAGCAAACGCAATCTTTAGCTTCCGCGAGAGTTGGAGAGAGGAGCTTTTGGAAGCACACCTTATTCTCCAGCCCAAGTATTTGCACAGGCTAGCAGGATTTCACCAAGCTGAACCTCCATTAACCCATACGGTGCTGATGAATTGGAACAGGCTCCCAGTATAGTAATACTCTTTATGCACAAATATCAGAGATGCAACGAAAATAACAAAATGGGCAACAGAAACGCAGCTGCCTAAAGAAACACTGGACATGATCCCTCCAGGTTTCACTGACATTTTCTGAAGCATTTGCATTCTGACATGAATTTCCTTTTTGCAGAAAATCATCAACAACTAAAGAAAACCTTCAATATCCAATAAGTTTTCTGCTGAGGATTCACCGTGACTTGAAGTCCTAACTGGGCATTCCTTATGTTTCTGTCAATATCGAGAACAATGTAAGGAAGTTACTCATTCCTAATAAAACAATCCAGCAATGAAATGGCTCCAACTAATTATTTCTAAACTTTCTGTCAATGAATTTCTATAAACTATTTGGCCGAGTACAATGAGAACTGGAGTATCAGCGATTTCCAAGCACTTCTAACAATTGTAATTTATCATAAATACCCTTTATATTACAAGCTTTGTGTTCACTGTGCACTCTTTACGTGGAGCATTTTAAGCATATTGTCATTAACCTTGAATATATATCATAACCCACATGCACCAGCCAGGAACTAGAAATGATTTAAATTGAATCACCAGTCGTCACATGATTGTGTTTGACATATAACGTTATATAATTTGATTCCCCTTCCTAGCTGCTATCATCATATGATCAGAAATGCCAGTCTTGTGTATCTGTGTAGAACTAACCAGGGGATGGAATGTAAGACTTAGATACATTAACGCTTAATAAAGGCACATGGGTAGTCGGTACTTTGAAACGTATTCACTAAATTGGAAATTGGGGGAATTCAGAAGCAGGGTTGCAGATTTAAGACCCATTAAAATGGAACAGGAACATTTCTATTTGAGTTAAAATTTTCTCCAGAAATGAGTAAGTAAACCTTCCAGAGTCAAGCCTATTTTTACACGTTCCTGTCCTTTAAGCTGTTGGGGCAGTGATACCTGTTTAGTTGGTTGTTATTTAAAGAACATTCCATTGGGTATATGAAACCCTGCAGACTATCTCCCCATGTTACTGGGTGCCCCAGAACTGTGTAACTAGCAGGCAGATCATTTCACCCAGCGCAGTCTGAGCTACCTTCAGGAAATGGCAACTGACTCGATTATTCCTTTAAATGATGTAGAATCGTCAGTATTAACATATATATTACATTAGAAATATTTCATTAAACATTGTTACAAATAAATACAGAACTTCATATTCTCAGAGCTCCAAATCCCTTTTGCACTGACATCCAAAATATTAACAGAAATGATTTATAATGGCACCAACATGCTGTGTAGCGCTGTTGTAAAACTAATTAAAGGGCAGCAGTAAAACTAACAGAGAAAACGTGTTTATTGCAAGTGGATTACATTGCTCCCTAAAGTGTGTAAAACAACAATTATCAAATCAAGACAAAATGGGCTGTATTTAAAACAACCTAGTAACAGTAAAGGAATTAGGAGTTAAAGGACCACTATAGTGCCAGGAAAACATACTTGGTTTCCGGTGCCCCCACCCTCAGGGTCCCCCTCCCGCCCAGCTCTGGGGAGAGGAAAGGGGTTAAAACTCACCTTTCTCCAGCGCCGGGCGGGGAGCTCTCCTCCTCCGATCCTCCCATTCGGCTGAATGCGCACGCACGGCAAGAGCTGCGCGCGTATTCAGCTGGTCTCATAGGAAAGCATTTACAATGCTTTCCTATGGACGCTTGCGTGCTCTTTCTCTGAAACGGCTATGTTTATAAAAAAATGGGTTAACCCTAGCTGGACCTGGCACCCAGACCACTTCATTAAGTGGAAGTGGTCTGGGTGCCTAGAGTGGTCCTTTAAGCACAACCCTTATGTATCTTTAACAAGAAAGAAAAACAAAAATCAATGAAATATTAATACAAAGAAAAAAAATATATATATATATATGTTATAAACTGAAATGAAAATAACTTTGGCCCACAATTTTAAAATTTGTTTTCAATTCACATTTGAGTGAATAAACTATATAATAACAAGAAAGTGGGATATGGTGAAAACAATTGCAGAAAATGTTATAAATAAATCAATTTTCAGTTAATATTGATGTGGATTGGAGCATTGTACAGCCCCTCTTCTTCTCTGATTCCAGTAAAATAGCAACTGCATTTACTGGCAAATTTCGCTCCCTCAACACCTCCCCCTCCCTCCACTATCCCAGTCCCCAAATATCTCCTGCCTTCACCTATCCTACTCTCCAACCTCTCCCACTCCCTAATTATCTCCCCTTCCCCTCTCCTATCCCACTCCCTAAATATCTCCTTCCACCTCTCCCACTCCTCAAATACCTCCCTCAGCTATCAGTCACCAAATATCTCCCATTCCCCAAATATCTTCTGCCCTAACCTATCCCACTCTACAACCTCTCTCACTCCCCAAATATTTCCTCTAGCCCCCACCTATATCTCTCTTCAAATATATCCACTCCCCTGTTCCACTCCCAAATATCTCCTACTCCCACCACATAACCCACTCACTAAATAGCTCCCCCTCCCCTTAGGGCCAGATTAAGAGCCCAGTGGGCCTGATGCTGACAATTATGATGGGCCTAATCTTATTGTAATGGATCAACGGGCACTCCGACTGGGTACCTCTGTTGAAGGATATTCCAAACACTTCCTGAGGGCTCCAAGCACTCCAGCCGACACCATAACCACCATGGACTGCTTCAGAGAGCAGGACAGGAACAAGCTCTTATAAAAGTTAGTAATGATTTAACAAGGGAGTATTACAAGCATAGCAATCCCTTGTAGCAGATACCTCTAATAAGAGACAGCACTCCAAAATTGAGGGTGAAATAGAACTGTCTAAAAATTTTTTACTTGGGACTAGCCCATATGGTCATTACATTATCATTGCTGTGAAAACTCAATAAAATTACAAACAGTCAAATTATAGCAGGTACCATACAGTGACTTATTATAACATAATTACATATTTAAATGGGTGGGGAAGACCATAATTAACACAAAATGTCTCTCCTGCATGCAGAATTAGCGATATGCAAATCTACCCGAATATGCAAATTACCAGTCTTGCTATTCAGGTAGTGCATATTACTGTTGCTACCAACAGAGGGCACTACACAAGCTCCATAGCCAAATCCACCTAGTTGGTAGCAATCCTCAGCAGTACAGGAGAGCAGGCAATATATCCCTGGGGGCCATAGTCACATGGCAGGAGGCTAGCAATCAGTCTTCTCCAATGCCCAGTGGTGAGGCTGGTTCCGCCACACTTATCGACCAAAAACACTAATCATACCTCCCAAGCATCATGTATCTGATAGAGATGATGCTGGATGAAAACTCAAAGGATGCAGCTCTAAGAAAACACATACTCTATGCTAATCTCTTTATCTAATTTATGCTCTCATCTTTCAAGTAAATCCATAACCCCTAACAGCAGTGTCCAGTGAAGCAGGAAGTCAATGGGCGGGGTAAAAGGGTGGGCCACTGGTGCAAATCACGTGACCAGACCTGCCAAAAGGGGTGAACATACCCAAAAAGCAGACATGTTTGTCCAAAGAATTGGAAGGCCAGTCTGGCATGAATGCATGTCAGGCTGGCCAACTAAGGGCATACTCTGCAGACAGCACCCTGAGCTTGGCATAAATGCATCAAATGATGCGCCTACTCCACGCTTTCTAAGGACTGTCCCCTAGCACTCACACTGTCCACTTGTCTCCTTACCATCTTACTAGCAGGCAGAAGTTCCTGGTATATAGTCTGGGACAGAGTAAAGGTGGATGTAGTCAGTGGCGTACATACCAGGGTCGCAGGTATGTACCCACAGGGCCAGCCTCTTCCCCTGGGGGGCCCAGGAGCCGACCACCCCAAGGCCCCCCGAGGCTGGCCCTGCTGACACCCGGCAGGCGGGCGCGCAAGGGAGCACTCAGTGCTTCCTCTTCAGCATCCTCGCGCACCGCACTGATACCGGAGCCGGAAGATGACGTCATCTTCCGGCTCCGGCATCCCTATGCGGTGCGCGAGGGAGCTGAAGCGGAAGCACTGAGTGCTCCCTCGCGCGCGCGCCTGCCCGACCAGCCACCCGCCCAGGAGCCCAGCAGCCCAGCAGCACCACCACTGGACCCTACCAAAAGGTAAGGAGGCTGGGGGGATTACATTTAAAAAAACAAACCATGTGTTAGTGTTTGAGTGAGTGTTAGAGTGAGTGTTAGTGTGAGTGTTAGTGTTAGAGTGAGTGTTAGAGTGAGTGTTAGAGTGAGTGTTAGTGTGAGTGTCTGCTAGTGAGTGTCAGTGAGTGTGTTACTGTGTGTGTCTTACTGAGTCTGTGTGTGTTAGTGAGTCTGTTTGATGTCTGTTAGTGAGTGTGTGTTTGTCAATGAGAGTGTATGTTTTGTAAGTGAGTGTGTATGTATGTCTGTCGCTGACTGTATCTCTGTCAGTAAATGTGTGTGTCTGTTAGCTAGTGCGTATGCGTCTGTAAGTGAGAGTGTGTGTGTCTTCAGCACTTACCTTTCTCCAGCGCCGGACTCTCTTGGCTCTGGGGATCCCTCAGCTTTCTCAGTTCAATGCTTAATCACAAGACGATTTCAAATACTGAGTATAGGGAAAGCATTACCAATGCCTCTATGGACGTTCAGTGTGCTTCCTCTAGTGCTGTCAGTGAGACAGCCACTGAGGTTGGATTGGCCTCCTCAGTGAGCCATGCAGTGCTCTGAAACTGCTAAGGTGTTTTCAGCTGCAGGAAGCCAAAACTAGGGACCTGACACCCGTGACAACTTACTGGAGCTGGATGTGATCTGGGTGCTCCGTAGGTGGTCCAAAGTGAATTACAGTGCCAGGAAAACATACTCTGTTTTCCCGGCACTATAGTGCCCTGAGGGTGCCCCCTTACCCCTCGACCCTCCGCCGGCTCTGGAAGGGGGTAAAACTTACCTTTTTCCAGCGCTGAGCAGGGAGCTCTCCTCCTCTTCTCCTCCCCGTCGGCTGAATGCGCACGCGCGGCAAGAGCTGCGCGCGCATTCAGCCGGTCACATAGGAAAGCATTCATAATGCTTTCCTATGGACGCTGGCGTGCTCTCACTGTGAAAATCACGGTGAGAAGCACGCAAGCGCCTCTAGTGGCTGTCAATGAGACAGCCACTAGAGGATTAGGGGGAAGGCTTAACCCATTCATAAACATAGCAGTTTCTCTGAAACTGCTATGTTTATGAAAAAATGGGTTAACCCTAGCTGAACCTGGCACCCAGACCACTTCATTAAGCTGAAGTGGTCTGGGTGCCTAGAGTGGTCCTTTAAGTGTGTGTGCATCTGCATGCACTGGCGTACATACCGCGGTCGCAGGGGTCGCAGCCCTGTAACCCCTGCGACCAGGTGCCCACCGCCATGTGTTGCGGCCTGGCCCGCGCATGGGGCGGGGGGCCCACGGATCAAT